CATCATCAGTAGGTGCTCATTGATCAGGAGATTCATGAGAGAATAAGTGGGATTCTGAAGCTTTAAAAATTATCTATATTATAATTTTAAGTTTGATATTATTTTTTTTGTATTTATTAAGGAATGTTGTAAAGGTAAAACAAATCAGTTGGTTGTATCTGTGTGGTAGCTGTATGAGACCAATAATTTGTGTGAATGGAATAATAATAATAATAATAATAATAATAATAATAATAATAATAATAACAAAAATATTAAACCAGAGTATATATTATCGTTTTTCCTTGAAAATGCATGTTAAAAGAATTGCTTATTTATAATTTCCTTGAATTACCATTCCGCTTTCCCAAGAAAACATGTTTAATTTATGTAATAAAATAAAACAATCCTTTTAAGCATTGTCATTTGTGCTTCCCATTTAAAAATTCAACATATTTAAAAAAACTCAACCATTTCATAATAAATTAGTACTTCAATTACACTTCAATCGGAAGTAAAAAAATATTTTGAATATGAGTATAATCTGTGTGTATTGAAGTAACATCAGAATTGTATAATAACGTAATATAGTATATAATAATATATAATATATAATAATAACGTAATTCTAGTTAATATAAATACATTGTTAAATTTTAAAAGAAATTTGCAAGACAGTACGTTCACAATTTAATGGACGAATATGCTTTAAGGTTTTTCGGTAAGCTTATGAACAAAAAAGTTAACAACAGAGAAGTGCAAAGTAATGTAGAAAGGAAACCCTGTAAAAACTTGGCGAAAAATAAAGAGTATACTGAATTGAAAACTTGGGAGCTCACAACAAAAATAACCCAAAAAATGCCCCGAGGAAGGGAAAGAGATAGGCACAAGATAAATCATGTAGAATTTCATAATGAAGAGCAACTTTCCGGCGAAGGATTTCCAATACAGTACAAAACTGGCATAAATTTTGCTCTCGCGAGGAAAAAGCTGTTCGTCGTTCTTCACACTGACAATGAGGCCAAATGCATGAGGCTTCGCAGGAGATTCCAAAGGTGCACAATTCTCGTTTATTGTATAAGTAACACTGTCTCGTAAATAGAATGGATTAGACGTTTTTAATGGGAATTTCAACACCTATTCCCTCATTGCAAACAAATCTTCTCTCCAAACAATACTCTCCATTAGTTTATTTTTTCTCTCTTCGGTTAACAGATGTTCATAATAGTCCGCCCTTTCTTGCAAGCTAATGACACCCATTTGCAGTGTATTTTATTTTCCTTTCTTAATCCCTTTATTACTTTCCATCTTTATTTGATCTTGTATTTCCAATTCATCGATTGACATCGCGATAGATCATTTCCCAATACTCATTCTTTTGTATTCTTAATGCTTCTCTGGGTTTCTCTCTTTAATTTAAAGTATTCTGTTTTATCACCGTCAGATTTTGTTATTAGCCAACTTTTGTATGCTTTCTTTTTCTTTCTAGAGATATATCTTGGATTCCGCTAAGGTGTAAAATGTTCATTTTACTCCAAGTACATATTTTCCCTAATTCTTCATTTGCTGATTGATAGATGCAAAGTGTCGAGACTTCATTGACCAAATTCGGGGTTCTCTTCCCTATTGCTCTATTTCACCAATTTATTTGCAAGGCGTATTTGGCAAAATAGTTCGATAGAGTAATTCTCAAGTCTTTCCAGATTATATCTTGTAGTTATAAATTCCCCCTCATCATCATTTCCATTGTGGTCATATGAATGTTCGATCTGTTTTCCAAATGAAACATACATTTTCGAATACGAAAAGTATTTGTCTGCACCACATTCGAGCACTCTCATATCTCGTACATCAGTTACTTTTAATTTAATACTGTTTAAAAATAATATAATCTATAATGGACCTCAGGTTACGAGTGTGTTGAACGCATGTATATCGGTGTATGTATTTATGTTTGAACCATCCGTTAGTTATTTTCATTGAAGGTTATTCACACAGCTCAATCATTTTTTTCTCCGTTATCATTTATCCTATCTTCACAGTGGGATCCTACTTCTGAATTATGCATCCCATCCTCATCTGTCATTGACGTCTCTAATTAAAAATAGTTATTTGCGATCGCTGACGTTATCTAGGAACATTTTCTATTTTTTTTAAACTTTTCTTTTTCATTTACTAAGGCTTCGTCATTGGGGGCACACACCGCAACTATTACAACTATCGTATAGAGAAATTAATTTAATCTCTACTTTCAGGATTCGTTGATCAAATCCTAAGATTTACTGTTCTTCTTTATTGTATGTTTTCCTACCTATAATACACCACCGCGATTCCTCTCTTTCTTTGGAATCCTTGTGTACAGGTGCATAAAATTCAGTACTTCTTCAGTATTTTTTCCTTTCCTCTTGGTTTTTGACATTGCAACGATACTAACAGGTATATCTGCGGGTGACGGGGATCGCGCTTTCGACCCATGGTATTTCTTCTTCTTCTTCTTCTTCTTCTTCTTCTTCTTCTTCAGCTTCTCTCTCTCCCTCTCTCTCTCTCTCTCTCTCTCTCTCTCTCTCTCTCTCTCTCTCTCTCTGTGTGTCTGTCTGTCTGTGTGTGTAAATATTTGAGGATGAAAGAATGTTGATATATAGACTGGATTATTTATATGTTACCGATGATAGTATAATAATGATAACTATTATTATTATATATAAATAATTCTTGTAAATGTTATTTTAATACGGACTGACTGAAGAAGCAAAACCAATGTACGCTTGAGCTGCTTTGCTGATAATTCTTGGCTCTGAACTCGCTAAGAAAGGTTCTTTGTTAAGAAAGAAAGACGGAGGGGGCGGGGGAGAAGACCGAAGTTACAGAAACCCGGGAAGTACTCGAAGCGAGCGAGCCGGCGGCGGCCGCGCGCAGGCGGAGGCAGAGCGCCGGGCTGCAAAATTTACTGCTTCCTTTATCCCACCGCTTCCGTCGACGCTCCTTGCCAGACAATTCGCTGGAAACGCCGACCGTGTGCGGGGAATGTGTACAAACAAGGCGGTCTAATAATTAATAGGGCGTGTACGCAGCGCGCGTGTGTGGGCAGGCCAATGTGTGGGTCCGCGGGGACGTCCTGCCACATTTTGCAGTGCCCCGCTGGGGCTCCCGCTAGGTGGCCGGTGGCTGCGCGCTATTTCTGCAGATTTGCCTACTCGTCGTACTAGAATATTGCGAGGCCCTTTGTGCTCTTCAAGCTGCAGAGAACACAAAATTCATGAGTGCGATAAACATTTCAAAAAATATATGAATATCCATCTTTGATTCATATACAATTTGATAGGACATTCAAATACGTTAAACATTTCAAAGAAATGTATGAATATCCGTTTTTTTAAAATTAAAACAATCCCATTTCTATTTCTAAAAAATAAATATTCCAAATATTATTATTAATAATTAGCGATTCCAAGTCGCTTAGAAAATGTGGTTTTAATGTGATTGAGGAGTATTTTGGCTCTTCAGTGAACTGAATATTGCCTTAATACTATAAAGACTTCAGTTCCTGCAATGTACAGAACGTAAACGCATTCATCTGCGACAGAAGTCCCATATCGAGACACATAATGTAATTTTAGAAGATTGTTGGTTCGTCCGTTTGAAATTTTTTATGTTCATCTGTTGACGATTTTGGTTCAAAAATTGTGTTTTGCAATTTGCTCATAAAAGCTAATATGTACTGCACGTTCAGAAGTGATATGCAATTTTCTTTTACATACAAAACCTTGCAGTAAATGAATACGTATTTAACTGTACATAATTGTAGAAGGTCTACAGTGATTGTGTTCAATATAGGAAATTTATTTGACGTAGACTATACAATCTTATTGAATGAAGTTTCACAATAAATCCTAACCGCATTTCAATTTAACATTTGAAACGATATATCAACAATTTTGTTTTGGTTTTAAAAATAACATATCAATTCACATAGGTATTTTGTTCATTTATAGACAACAGATACTTGTTGATTAAATTAGCACGGACCATTCACCATCACCACTGTATACACGCAATATATCATAGAAATACTGTATTGTTCTGTATTGTACTGACGAAGTAATTGTTATATTGCTGAATGAAGCATTTTGCATCGTACGTCTAACTTTCAACATTCGCCACTTTGCGCAGATACTCATTGTATAACATAATTTAAAATAATTTTGCAGAAGTATTTTGAAATGGCGATTCTGGCTTGCTAAAATTTGTTATTAAAATATATTTTATTTTTAATTTTCATACTACTTTGGTCTTCATTGGCTAGTGATGTAACAATGATTTTTTCTGTTTGACATACTACATAACAGACATTTTGAATTCGTAACAGTTTTGTTCTCAGACACAATGTTCGTTCATACTTTTATGTTCAGATAGTAACCGACTGAAGGCCAATACGGCGTCGAAAATTTGTCATGTGCATCTTCGGCACATATTCTTATGCTGTCAACCACATGAGTCGACTTTTCAAACTACCTCAGACAGGCACTTTTGATTGTGTCAATATGACTTCAGTCAATATACACCTTCTAATTTCTAGGTTCAGACAGTTTCTTTCATTCACCCAGCAAAGGTAGTGGACCGTAGGTGCGCTGTCACTTGCACTTTTTAACCGATTTTGTAGGATAAACGCAAAATATTAATATTATAATGAAATTAGAAGAAAAACCTTATTTGTAAAGCAAAGAGAGCGAATTTTAAATTCAAAGACGTGTATACGTCGTTGAATTTTGGCGAGTTTCCACTTGTAACAATAATGATAATAATTGTATTGTATGACCTTAAAATGCCAACATATATTTTTATAAATTAAAATTTAAATCAATTCTCATCTTAAAATACCTTCACTCTACTTAGCTAAACACTATTCTGGCCATGTTTCTGCATTTCTAATCCATTTGAGGGCTTAAAGCTTTCCCCGACGAGTGTGTTGTGATTGACCGTGGGCAAAGTGCAGCGGAGTGCAGCGGGGTGTGTGGGCGCAGGGGGCAGACGGCGCTGCACCAGGCGGCGGCGCTCAAGCGGCGCTCCATCTGCGTGATGCTGGTGGCGGGCGGCGCGTCGCCGGCGCTGGAGGACCGCCAGGGGCTCACGCCGCGCCTCCTCGCGCAGCAGGCCGACGACGCGGAGCTCGCGGCCTACCTGCACAGTGAGTACCGGCGCGCGCCCGCGCTGCAAGTGACGCTGGCAGTGGTCGCGGCGGGCTCCGGGAGGCCGCACGGAGCCAAATATGGGAGCCGAACATATTAGGCGAACAAACCTGGGGTTAAAAGGAAACTACGTAGAAAAAGGCGGGGATGTTTATTGTTATTAAAGTCATTAGGCCGACGTAGGGAAAACAAATGATGCCGTTGATGTTTGTGAAACGAAGACTCTGCCGATATTTTCAACCATCCATTTGTCATATCGACCGCATGTCGTTCAAATCTTCTCGTAATACCGCCTATTTATTAGAGAAATTCATAAAAATAAGAAATACCTTTTCTTTGAATAAGCTTTCTCATCTTCCACCCTCGACTACGACTGATGTGTTTATATTGTTCTCACAGGGTGGTGGACTGCAAAATCCTTAACGAACGTCGGCCATTAAGAGTGTCTTTTCCTTCCCCTGATTGCGTAAAAACGATGTACCAAAACAATATTACGAAATAAAATTTTAAAGAAAAGTTTATAAGAGTCTAATAACTTGAGTATAGTCCTATTGCAGGTCACCTGTTTGTGAACCTGTAATGTGACATGTGTGGTGATGAGAGCTTCCGCGGCCTCAGTCACTAATAACTTGGCGGTCTATGAGATATACGTTCACCGTATAACTTAAATTGATTTTTTTTTATATATTACATTCCACGTATGCTTCTGTTGGTGTATGCGTATGTGTATGTGTATTCACGAGTATACTCTCATGAACAATCTCAATCATTAATTACAGTTCATAAACGTTCTACTGAAAATAAACCAGGTCAAAAATGTAAATTTACTTCACTTCATAACACAGCTCTGTATAATATTTCATTGATACTGAAATTAGTACAATTTAGTTATAAAGATTATTTATGCACTAACGGTTTTATAAGAGCAACGACAGAAATCCGGAAGACGTTTGGTCAAAGGGCTTCTTGTCGCCCGAGATAATTAGAACCAGTGGATGCCCTTGGTGAACATACGATTTTATCTTTTACATGATTTTAATAATTCAATTTTACTTATTTACTAAATAACTAGATTTTAACTTGACTCGGTTTGTATTATAATTTTCCCTCCCATAGTTCCTTTCGTAAAATAACATATAGCATCATACAACTGTATACAGGTTTGTCTCCTAACGACAATCCTCTAGATCCAGAGAAGTTAGGCAGTGTATATGGAGTCAGTAGCGAAGGCAATAACTTGCAATAACGTGTCAGTAAAAAATGTTACATTATGAAACGATGATGTATTAATACCTAGTACATCGAGTTTAATACTTTTTCTACGACTTCTGGTAAATTCAATAAATTAGACTTTTACATTGAATCGTTTCAGGGCAGTTGATATGCAGGATTCAGCCAGGGCCATCTTGAAGATAGCTCGTAGCCCTACCCTAACAGGTAGATTTGGTTTCCAGTCCGCCTGCAAGGGAGTACTGCACTAATCAAATAGAATAAAAGTGAAATTACAATCCAATTTATTTTAAATCACAATCCAAGAAAAATACTACTAATAAAATAAATTAAAACTGACAAGTGTAATATAATATTAAATGCAATTTTCAAGTACACAATCGAACGAAACATTTATTAGAAAAAATAAAAGAATTCGTTCTTATTTTTTCCCCATTTCATAAAGGCAACATATATATTCTTATTTATAATATGTCAATGATATCTCGATGATATATTCATTTGTGATACATTTGCAAAATCCAAAATTTTGGCCTCGTACCGACTTTATTATTGTTGTCACTCTCATGGCTCTCAACATTCATTATCGAATAAAAATTGAGTGGACTTGTAAGTCAATGTATTAATATTATTGATAAATCAAACTGTTTCTTATTTTGACGTTGCTCTACGACGAGCAATTTATTTTTTGCCAGAGTATCTTGATCCTGTAATCTGCCCGTAGATTTTAAAATCACTAAGGAAATAAATGGTCAACAGCTGCAAATTCCTGTTTAAAATTCACGATTCTGCCGTTATATCATTGTACGATTTAATATTCTTCAGAAATGCACATATTACTTTTATTTTCGGAGACCGTTGACCCTGGAGATTAAAACATAGCTTTATATTGTTAAAAATGAAATAAAACAATTATGTTCTGCCTATATATTCTTAAACATTAATTTAAGTGAACAAAGAGATAGAAACAAGGGATAAAATGTTATAAAGGAAAGTTGGTGCTGGGTAACGAGGAACGAGGGAGAGCAAGAAAACAACAATCTTCTCCTATTGTATACACAACACACACACGCGAACGCGTTTTTTTTTAATTTGCCTTATTTGCACCAAATTAGAGAATATTAAAATTTCATCTCGAATTACGAATAATCTTTCCTTATTCATTAAATTTAAAACAGCATTAATAAGTTGTTTCGGTGTAATGATCGGAGTGGCCCGAGGCGGCCCGCGGCGTAATAATCAGACTGCATGGCTCCCACCGCTGGTGTGCGGTTTGGATCCCAGGCGGTTTTAAGCGGAATTTGTGGTGGACAAAGCGGGTTCGCGACACGTTTCCTCGGGGTCCTCCCGATTCCCCTGCTAAAATGCACACCACCGCATCGTTCCATCATTCATTCTCTACCCTGTTCTATCATTAACCAAGATCAACGGTTCACAGGCGATAACTAAGAACTGACTGGGTAGCGCTGAGGCTACTTCAGCGGGTTATCGGTAGGTAGGGTCCCGTCCTGGAGAACTAGAGAGGGGAAATGGCGAGGGAGATGGGACGCCCTCAACAAGACCTTAGATACGTGAAGAGAGTGACTGTAATGCCAGGCAGGCAAGGAGAGAGGTACAGCTTGAAGCTGGCCCCTAGGGGGGGGGTAAAGAGTTTAGTTAGTTTACTAAGTTAGTTTTAAACTCATCATCATGTACGGTAGAGATTCAATTTCGTAAACATATTTTTTTACAAATTTATTGATAAGAATATCCTCCACATGTTTTTAGATCAATTGAACTTTTTCGTTTACTTCATTATTCATCTCCCTTTTACCTCACAGTATTTCTATGTGTTTAGTCTTGATAGAGAGACCGTAAGATAGCGTCTTCATTTTTTCAGTTCGGTTCTAAAGATTCAATTTTCCCGAACGAGATTACATCTTATTCAGTGCTTTTTTTCTTAATATTATCTCATAAATATTTTTTCAAAGGCAGGTACGATGCGTTTTCTTCGTTGTAATATTATAACTTAAACTTTGTGATTCTGTGATGTAAGACTTCAAAATAGAAAGTGAAAAACTTTTTTTAATTTCGAGTGAACAAATTATTTTTTAATCTCATGCTTTTCACTTCCTTCTACCATGATATAGTTATTTTTCGAAATATATATCAAAAGATTTTGCCAAACGAATATCGTACTTTTATCCACTTTCTTAAAATTTCAAAGTGTTAGAATTTTCATTTAAATTTCACTGGTAATTCTGTGAAAAGTGACAGACAGATGTTAGTAGTTATAGCAGATAGTGAATTATCAGAATATTTGTGTGCACACTTTTCACTTTCATTATGAAAATGATCATTATTATTAATAGTCAGTCACAGATTATTCAAACACTTGTGTTCGCACTCTTGTTAGAACACTAATATCAGTTTGCTTTTATATAAATAAATTGTAAGTACGTATTGGCGCGAAAGCCTATGAACTAGCTCAGGCCTACCGGCGACGTCCCTGCCTCGCGGCCATGGGTTATGAGGGGGGAATGTGGTTAGCACGTTGACATCCTCACGTATAATACGTATTCCGATCTTCTCAACCTGAGAAATAAATTTTCTCATCATCACACAGCAACACACTCTGGGACATTAAACAAATTGGATAAAGTAAATATTTTACGACGTTCGTATTAAATGGCTCTGAATCCTACAGGCCCACGCTAAGTTTACCTTATTTAACGACGCGTTTGACATGTGCGAACAGCGTCGTTGAGGACGAGAAACAAGTCTCTGAAAAGTATTGGGCAAATAAAAAATTAAGATGTTCGATTCTTCGGATATGTCGGATGTTTATAATTCTGGCAAGTAATATAAAAGGAATTCCACGACACCGTGTGCAGCCGCGTATTTATAATAACATTTCTCGTGAGAAAAATAGACCACTTCCATTGTGAACACTTCAAAGAGGAAACGCACGAGAGTCGTATATGACCTGAAGGAAACTGTTTTGCGGCAAAACTATGGAAAAAATACTTTCATTGAGATTTTATTGCAGGTGTTCTATTGTATTTAGAAATTAGCAAACAGAATTCTTCTTTACCTTAATTATCCCCATTACATTAATTATATCCTTTACATTCATAGCCCTTTCATAGCCCTCATAGCTTAGACTTCACCGAGTTTCTATTCAACGAATTCTATTCTATTAAACTTCAGTTCTGCCTTGAGTTTTCGTGCAAAAATACTTTTGAAAAATCAATGGAAACCAGCGGGTCCAGTGAAAAGGCATTTCTAGATTTCTTGTTGGTGTTCACGCTTGAGAGTATCAATCTGTGGCACTTCACCCGACAGCAAAAAGCATGAATTCTCTCTTGTACAAAAAAAGCGATCGTAGAACAGAACTTGAACTCATAGATTAGAGAACACCGCGAATACTTTGAGCTCATTTCGCACAAGATTATATTTGCCGGCTTATTTGAAAGAAAAAAGTCAGAACGTTTTGGTTAATTTGAGGAGATTAATAAGTAATAAAATGAATATAAGTGTAAATATAAGTAATAAAATAAAGATAATAAGTATAAAATAAATTATATAGTAGTAAGAAATATACACTATTATTAGGAATATTACGAGTAATACTCTTAATCACACACTTAAGATTTGCTCTAATCTAATATTTTTTCATTAACGTACTTCTGTTGCAAATACGCATTTTTTCTTACAGTTGTAATATAGCTATCAATATCGTAAATAATTATAATTTGAATGAAGAAATAATAATTTTAATGCTATTTCAAAAGACATAGATTTTTCATTAATGAAAGCTAATGTTTGGAACCTCAAATTGGAACATTTCTAAAATTTGTAAAATATGAAACGTAATTTCCATTTGATAGAGAATCTACGAACTTCAACGTAAGATGTTTCGACTTTAGTGCCTAATGTTTATTGTCCTTCCAAAATATACTTTAGAGCTTGGAAGTGTGAGTTTTTGGAAGCGTGATATTTTTTCCATTGTTTATCAATTAACTTTTCCCTAACTCCATAACCGTTTTCTGTATCAACCATTTAATGTGAAGTGATTATAAATAAAAGTAGTCAATAATTCATTTGGGGGATCTGGGGTTAGGTAACTGTAGCTCTCAGCCCTTTAATTGTATATTACTTGTTGTACGTTGAACGTGTACGAAAATTGTGACACGTGTAAGGGCACATCTCCTCGTAATGTTAGTTCATGAAAGAAGTAAAACGACTTTCTCTTCCAAAGACCAACAGCTGCTGCACTTATGACTCCTCCACCAAACCCCTAAGACCACCCTCCCTCGTTTCGTGACCCACTGACACGCGCGCCCTCTTGTTGTAGGTCAGGAGCACTTCCGGCGCGTGGCGGACGACATGGAGACGGCGGTGTAACGCCGCGGAGGCCGTCGCCGCCGTTCCCGCCCCCGCCTCCGCCCCCGCCTCCGACCCGCCATCGCTCACCCTTCTCTCTCTGCCGATCCCACTCCCCCCGTACCCGCACGCTCGGCCACCCGCCGCCCGCTCCCCCGCTCCTTCCCGCCCCGCTCCGCTCCGTCCGCGTCCGCGACGTACGCGGCTCACAGGCTGCTGAGCGAGCGGGCGCGAGCCGGCGGTAGCGGCCAGTAGTGGTGGGTATGGGCGAAGGGTGCGTGACCAGCGGAGCGGGGGGCGGAGTTGGGGCGGGGCGGGCGGGAGCGGGCGCGGGCAGGGGGCGGGGCGGCAGCCACGGAGGCGCAGCCGATGATAGCAGCAGCAAGCAGAAAGGCAGCGGCAGGCAGAGCAGCAATGTTTTATTCGCCCGCACCAGCCGCAGCATGTCTCTTTCTCACCCCCGCCTACCGCGCGGCGGATGAGAATGCGCCCAACGGGGTGGCCCTTACATTCCCGCGCACTAGAGTCAATATATATAAAATAATATTAACTTATAACTACTCGGTTTCCCCTGCCTGGCGACTGGCACCTCGTGAGACCAGACGCATTGCTCCCTCTCGGCTAGCAGCAGCAGCAGCCGCGCCACCACACGCAGACGCATCGTAGCAAGCCAGCAGCAGCAGAAGAAGAAGAATGAAGAGATAGAATCGCGAAAGCATCCGTTCAAATAATACACAAAGAACGAGAAGGAAGCAAAAAAATTTTAATTCCATCTCGCGCACCGGCGTAGCGGGGCCCTCTCCCTGTACAGAAGCTGTCTATTTTTACCTTTCGTATCAATACTCCGCCGTAGATGGAGCGATCTTCCGGTGCGGAGACGAGACGTGAGCGCGCAGGCGGCGGCGCGGCGCTGTTGGGGGCGGCGCGAGGAGGAGGACAGCCTTCCAGCCTTCGATCGCCCTCCCGCTCGCCCCGTCCTCGCTTCCTCGCCCTCCTCACCCGCCAGCGCCCGCAAGGGGCGCTGTTTCTCACGCTTGCCTCTCGCCCGGAAACCTTTTAGGGGGAAAGAAGCGCGCGCTCTTTCGCCAACAGCCAGATTCGTGTCGCCCGCGCATTAATCCTGTCCTTCTGCCCGCGAGAGCGCCCGGGAGAGGCTACGCTCTGGAGGTCCCAGCCGGTCAGGGAATCGTGGAAGGAGGTTCCCCCAGTACGATAAATTCACAAGCAGGGGTTGTCAGGAATGAATTTACCTGGACATTTTGAAAGCGGTCTTTATCCATTGATTCGCTGAAGAATTATAACAAGACATTAAACAGTAACTGGAAATAAATAATTCATATTTTCCCCAAAATACGCTGTCTACACTAATATCGATCGTTGACATTTATCGTGACACACAAGTGAAAACCGACACTTGGAATTTTTCATCTCTAATTCGGTTGTACAATAGAAACTCTACAACTTGTTGCAAGCAATTTTCATGAGCTAGTCGCGAAACAGTTACCAATTAGGATGTGAAATAGACGATGACGTATATTATTGAGCTTGTTGAGTAGGGTATTTAACTAAACAGATCTATTTATTTTTCAAGTTCTGCCGACCGTAGAGGGTTGGTTTGGCGTTTACGGGACCAGACTGTTCAAAAGCTCGGAATTCTCGTCGCTGTCAGAAAGTGGACCGGCGAAAATCCATCGCTCGCTATCACACGTTCAACTCAATAGCCGATCCCATTTTCACGTCCAATTCAATCACCAAGACCCATTTCCTGCCCGAGCGTTCTGGCTTCATCTCCCGGATCTTAATCCGCTTCCGAGTCCCTTGGTCCTCGAGCGGCGGTCGAGGCAGGGAGCAGATTTTCATTAGGACAAACGACAATTTGCTTCGATCGTTACGTCCGCACTAAACAAGAGCGTGCGGCGGCGCCCGACCTCCTCCTTCGACCGGCAGACGGCGCGCGCCCCCCAACGGCGCAAGGCCTGCGCTGCGGGAGCGGTAAAGTGGGCGAAAGGCGCCCGTGACATTAAAGAGATGGAACTGACGACGGCGAGGCCGTTAACCAAAGCTACCTGCGCGTATACGAGCGTCCATTTCAGCTCATGAAATGATGTTCTTAATGATGTCCATAAGGTGAATCTACGAATTGCCGAGATTAATTTGAAAATACGTAATGAATGCGAACATGTGTGATGAATTCGTGAAACAATTTCCGAAGTACTTCTGAAAGCAGTTCACTGGAGCCTATTTGTGAATTGGTTAATGGATTTATGTTACAGCTGTACCGTAAAATCCTCTTGTGTGTGCTAACATTCGTATACCTGTCCCCAAGCAAGAGTGGAAATGTTTGTACAAACCGAAATACTAACGCTGGATATTGCGCGCTCAGTATCTGCATGTGAAATCAAGCAACGAATATGGAATTTTTTATGTACTCGAAGGTTTTGGAGTTTTTGATCGGCATATTTGGCAACCGAGAGTTCGATTCGACATCAGCGTCTTCCATGGCTCAGCGAAGACCGTCGGCGTCGAGGTGACAGTTCGAGACGCATCCGCAAAACGCGACAATAAAAGGCGGGCACCGGCCGTCATAAGCAGAGGCTCTCTCACCTTGTGGCACAATTTGCTCAAGTTTATTTGGTCACTGAACTACTTTGCACTACGCCTCTGCGCTCATATGATACAGAAAGCTTTGCAGCACCAGTCTGAGTTGCTTTACCGTCCAACACGAAAATTACATCGATTAAAATTGAATACCGATTCCCTGAAAATCCTATTGTATTGATGTAAATGTAATGTCGCTGTTTGATGAACGTGTTGTAAAATATGTTACCTTTGAGACGTTTATAAAACTGTTAAGGATTCATCTGCACCTAAAGCTACGTGTTTTGTTATTGCAAGTACTACCAGCGGGACAAAAGAAACACCTACGGGACTCAGGAAACAAAGAACATCAAACGGTAGCAACTAAGCTATTCCACCACAAACTACGCTGTCACCCAGCATGCATTTCCTAACATGCATACCCAACGTGAAACATGACACACGGAGATCGTCGAGAAGCATCATTGAGTTCCTCGTCGCAGCAGTAGCGATGCCGCTGGCAAGCAAGAACGCGACGGGCCCTCGCCTCTTGAGAGCTGCGCGCCCTGTGGGGCGAAGCAGCGATCCCGGAGACGCAAAGCGCGGCCCCGAGCACACGTCCCGCCTCCGCCCGGTGGAAGAAAAGAGTAGTTTCTTTGAAACCCTTCGCGGGCGCGCGCGTGGGCGAGAGGGGAGCGCTGGGCGGCCTACCCGCCCCCGTGCCCTCCCCCTCGCCGGCCGCGCGCTCGCGCGACTTGAGAAACGAATTTTCCATAATAACATATAATATTTTTACTTATATATACATATAATATATAAAGATTCAACACGCTTTTTTCAAAACTCCATGTTGTCGGTCTCTATTTTTGAACTTGTTAGCGGTCCTGACCGAGCAATACCGCAGCACGCACGCCGTTCTTGATCCTCCGCCGCGCTCACCGCCCCATTGCCATTGGGCTGCCACGGGGTAAGGCTCGCGTTGGTCCGCGGGCCAACGAACGGTCTCGTGTATTGTCTGAAATCCCATCTGTAGAGCATTACGGGAACACGGACTGGTTCTCGTAAATCTCTCTTTGGCTTTTGCGTTTGAAGGCCCTAACTGCCCAGAGGCCACCCCCCCCCGTGCTCGCTCTCCCCGAGTCATCACTCGAATCACAAGGGATCCCGGTGCAATTCTCTGTTTCTTTCTGTGTGTCCTTCTTTGGATCGTGAGGGTGGCAACTGCACTCAGCCTTCCCCCGACCGCTATCGCGATACATTTCTCTTGTAGTTGACGCGACCGCTCTCTCTTAGATTCGCGCGCGTGTGCGCGTGTGTGTGTGTTTGTAGCTAACGGTACTGCAGAAGTCGTCCACTTCATCTCGCTTCGCCTCGCCTCGCCTCGTCCGCTCAGGACCCGCTGCAGGTCGCAGGCGTCGAACCGGGAACCCCGGCCTGGCGGTCTGGATTCCGCGGCCCCAGCGGAAGGAGGGGGCAGAAAAGATCGCATTCTCCTCGCGAACCAGGCCACTCGCTCGCAAGACAGATGACGGCTCGCTATCGGGGCAGCTACCAAAACAGTTTAGTCTCTGTGCATCTGTCAATTTTCCAGGACGACTTCGTCAGAATTCCCTTGTATTTTTTTAAACTGAGTAACGGATAAAAGGAACGCAAAGAAATTCGCCGTCTAGTTTTCGATAAGGTCGAGAAATATCCATGTTCGTAATGTACTCTACTAGTGATGTATAATCTTGAACAGCGAGGCACTAAAAGACTTCATATCGGCGGCTGCCGAGCCGCCTCCGCAATCGCTCATTTCGTGTAGACTCTCGTAGATGACTGCTGTCGACGCTATACCTTGCTCAAAATGTCTCGAAGGCGCCGCCGGGAAAGAGCGATATATTTTTACTTTCCTCTCTTCCTCGGCTCGTCGCAAGAGGGTGATAGAATCCCGCGCGCGTGCCATTAGGAAACTGAGCGCTCGCGTGCGCACGCGTGCTCGCGCAAACGAGGAAGCGCATTGCTCACCACTCTGCGGCCGACAGACGCGCTTTCTCTGCTTGGCTGCTCACACAAATCTCTGACCGTCTAATAGACGATCTACGACTTACTCAATAAATTAAATTTATCAAGGAAATGTGATATTTGTTTTATATTTTCAAATATACAAAATATGCTTTTAATTTATTTGTAAATTCTGTCGGTACATAATTAACAATGATTTATTTCTTTCGTTTTCTATTTGACAGGAAAGAGCGTCAGCGTTCAGTTTTAATTGTTTTACATTAACTGAAAAACCTATGATTCCTAGTTTTTGTAAGAAAAAATATAGCTTCTGCCAGCGAATCTGAAAATAAATCCCACGATTCGTAGTACCAACGCTCAAAGCATAAGCGCATTGTGTTAATTTTTCCCTATCATGTCAATTTAGTCAGAACGCGCTCTACAATATCGATTCTAAAGGAGGTTTGGAGTGTTGTGAGTGCACTGGGACCGGATCGCCGTTCCGGTACTGCTTCGTCTGTTTTGCCTGAGCTTTTTCTACAAAAAAAATAAACGTTCCGGTATTTGAACGTTGACGTGTGCACCTGTGGGAGCAGATACGCTACAGAGTCGAACGTGCAAGCAGCCAAGCAGAGGCGCGCGTCGGCTCGGCGCTCGCGCAGGGGGACGGGCGGGCGGTGCGCTTTCCGCG